AGTGTTTCACCTCTGTGAGAAGCTTCATGGCTCACCACTTACTAAACCAATAAGGAAAAGAATCTCATCTTCCATCAGAATGCGCTTCAGATTTTAGACTGTCTACAAATTAGGAGTAGAATGTCCTTTATATGACTCAATGGCAGGCCCAATGTATCAACTTTGTCTTTTTCTGTTTTCCCATTGAGAATGCTTTTACCAATTGAGGGATAGTATTTGAATACTCCTCCATGGAGCTTTAATTATTATCATCAACCAACTGCAAGTTATGATAAATTGTTCTGAAGAATGTTTAGAAATTCAATCCATAAGAAATGCTGGATGGAGTAGTTTGGGGAAAGTTTTACCAAAAAAGACATTTAAAATACTGTATTTCAGGCACTGGAAATACAACCATTTTAAGTCGGTTTTTTTCTGTTAACCATTTGGTGCTGGTCCTGATGGGAACAGAAATCTGCAAGTGGTCCACAGTTTTAGGATTACTACTCTCTAAAGATCATATTGATCAAGTGTTTCAGAGCTCAGTTGAACACAAATGATTATGTCTTTTCTAGAGAGTCAGTGTTCTGCAGGTTTTTTTTGTGCTCTAGAATATGACACTGACAAAGGAGGATACCACAGAGAAAGAAATTGAGTTATTCTTCCTTGCAGAATGATTTATATATGTAATGTGGATTCTATGCAATAGTTGCATAATCCTTGTAATAGTAGGGGTCCAGTATTGTTTGACATCTTCATTTATGATCTGGATGATGGGGAGGAATGCATTCTCAGCAAGTCTGCAGATGTTAGAAAACTGTATGATACACCAGATGGGTGTTCCTATTCAGTTGGACTTTGACAAGCTGGAGAAATGAGCCAACAGAATCCTCGTGAAATTCAGTGATTACTGAACTGAGAGAACAGAACTGATATATTATTACTTCCCTTTTCAAATTTTCGCTCTATATACTGTGATTAAAAAATAGTTGACTTATCTAATATCCACACAATGTTTTAAAATTTAATATAGCTGTGCATAGAACTATGACTGATATTTCAATGGTTTTAGTTGTAAAATTTGTATCTTTCTGATTTATTGATTTTTCAGAAAATAATTTGGTTTGCATAAATGAAATAGCAAACTAGCTATTGTAGCAGCACTGTCACTTCTAATTACACATTCAAAAAGTTTATTTTAGAAATTTTAACACTTACCACTTATTTTATTTTAGGTTCTGTGGTTTTTTGAATTAGGTCATTGGATCTCAGAGGACCCATATGAGCTTTCATCCAGCTTCCCTGCAGCTCCTGTAAGTTTAATGGTCCTTTAAGCTTGTGACCTTCTTTTGTTTATCTGGGAAATTATTTGCCCTCTAAATAGGTTTTGTGAATAAGAAACCCTACTAGAAAAATATTTTCTTAAAGCAGGTACTGTAAGGAGTTACTTTCTTCTTCATCCACTACTTTTTGAAGTGTATTCAAAAACTTTGGTACATGTGGAAAATGCAAAATATTGATTCACCAATTAACACCTGAATAAATCAGCATCTTACTGGAGTATAAATTTAATTTTTTTTTTCTAGTTGTACCTGTATACAAACTGGAGAGGCATATTATTGCCAAATGGAAAGATTTGCAGGTCAGGGACTCAAGTTTTTTGTCCCAGAAATTACTTAGGCAATGGAAAATTACTGTGGTCTTCTAGAACTGCTAAGTAGGAAAAAATGAAGCATTTTTCCTGCCTCTAATAATCATTCTTAAGTACTAGATTGGGAACTAGTGCAAAAGTGTGTATGTGGGGGCATGATGTACCTTTGTAGGCCTCAGTGCACTTCATGTATTGCAATTGATTAAACAGGAATTTTATTTTGGTTTTAAAACAAGTAGAATTCTAGCTGGTTACTAGTCAATTATTCCAATAATTTTCCCTCTACTAAATTAGTGTCTGCAATTTATTTCCCAAAGTTTCATACAGGCTTTGAAGAAAGTACACTCAATGGGGTATTAAATTCATTTTTACTGTAATTTTATTAATTGTTAAGGACTTCTGTTTAGCCTTCTTTCTAAATCTATAACTATATATAATCTATATGTAAATTTACATATTTAACATGACGCTTTATTTCATGATTATAAGTTGTATGTTCTCAAAGTTTGGGGAAACTGTAGCAGTTATACTCAACCCTAAAGAAATTAATTCCCCATTATAATTTCATATTTTTTATAACATGAGGAAGTAGATTGTTTTATATAGCAAATACAGTAAGAATGTAAAACCTAATGTGAAAAATAAATAAGAAGCATGTTTTTTTCCCCTTTTCTGTATTTCTATGAAAAAAATCTGCACTGAATTTCATGTTGAGTTACTTTGAGTTTTCTGTTTCTTTTCAGACTACCTTGATTAATAACAAAGTATGCTATCAGTGACAATGTACACAGCATACTTTAGAAGTGATTCCTCTTGAGGTTGTTTTTGAGATTCCATTTACAGGTTTTATTCCTGAAGCAGAAGTAAGGAGAATTTGAGAGATGGAGAGAATGTAAAATTGTGGGAGGTTAGGGCTGTGCTAAGAACCTGGATCACTTCTTTTTGCAATGTGCTGTTCTTGCAAAGGAACAAAGCTGGAGTCCAAGGCAATATTTCCATTACCATTCCAATCATTCCCTTATTTAGTCACTCTCGTTTCTTACTGTAACAGATACTTTTTTTTTGAAGATGTGATTATTATTTGAGCATGAATGGTGGTTTTATTTGCTTCTTTTTTTTCTTGTTTCTTTCCTGCTTCCTAAAAGGCACTTAGAGAAAATGGAAGTACATTCTAGTTTCATATACTGTTTATTTGATTACAGGAAGGAATTAAAAGTAAGGGTTACCTTGCTGTTATGTTTTACTTGTTTGTACCAAGTCCAAAGTAGTTTTTGCAGCCTTCTGTTTCCTATAATAACCTTCTGACATGTCCTCCTGTTGCTTCACTTTGATTTTTGGAGTTCAAGCCATGCAATCTTCTTTAGATGAAATGTCATTTAAAGACATATTCCCTCTAAAATTTTACATTTGTGTTGATAAATTGATCCTTTTTCTCCCAAAATGAAGTCTCATTAAACAATTGATCCATTCAATGTCTACATCAGTATTTTTGATTACTTTTCCAGAACAGTCATCAGAAAGCCTCAAATTCTATAAACTTTTTTCCAACAAATCAAAACTAGCCATGCAATATTAATTTTTTTTGTCATACAGGGTTTTCTTACTAAAATAAAGAAAGTTAGTGTCAGAAGTTAGCACTGCTTTTCTTTGCCAGGTTGAGTATTAAGATGCCATCATGGTTTTTAAGAGCATTTTGGAGGATTTTTGTTTGTTTGTTTGTTTTGTCGGCCTTTTTTTCTCTTTCCTTTTCTTATTGGTGTGGATATATGCTTACTCTCTCAAATATTGGGAGTAATTTCTTTAGTTGTCTGATTAGATGTAGCAACACAGGAAATGCAGTAATGTAGACTCAGCATTTCTATTAAATTTCATAGAGCCATAAAAATTTTAGATTAGCAGGGACCTCTGAGGGTTATCTAGTTCAACACTGTCCTCCAAGGGACTTGTCTAATCCACCTTTCTGGTAATAAATGAATAAATTAAAAGGAAAATTCACTTTCCCCAATTCCAGATTGTATTTACTGCCTGTTGTCCCTGTCTTGTCTCATAGCAGACCACCTCCAAGAAGGGTCTGGCTTTGTCCTCCCTGTGTCCTCAATCAGGCAGTTGTAGGCACCATTAAGGTCTCCCCTCCCCTTCCCCCTCCAGTGTGCTCTAGGCTGAAAAATGACAGCTCTTTAGGCTTCTCTTGGTATATTGTGTGCTTGTTGGTATGTTTGGCTCCTTTTCTAGTGTGATGACTCTTCTAGACTTGCTCTCTAAGACATTTCTTGGAAAGTCATGTAAGCAATTTTGAGAAGTTGTTTTTGTTTTGTTTTTTAGTTTGGGATATGTATATCCTTACAAGTTTGCTATGAAAAACAATAAAATACTAAACAGTAATTTCAAATACATTGAGATGATTTTACGGAACTCTTCAGTGACTATTAATTTATATTCTTTCGGTTTATATAAAATCAGTTCATGAAGTAATATTAGAAATAGTTTTTTGTTTCTCCTATACTTAGGAATGATGACACACATTTTCAGTGAAGAAGAATGATGGTGGTCTGAGTGGTGGGGTACCCTGACAGCAGCTTTAATGATTTTCAGTATAAAATGGAGAGATTTATTCCATGTTTCTCAAATCTATTTACTGTTTTCAAGATAGAAACATTGAATCATCAAGGTTGGGAAAGATCTACAGGATCATCCAGTCCGGTTGTGCACTCAGCACTTCCACTGTAACCCCTAAACATCACCCACCAGATCCAAATGCCTCTTGAACACCTCCAGGGATAGTGACTCCATGACCTCTCTGGGCAACCTATTCCAATGCTTCTCCACTGTAACACTGAAATTATTATTTTCTAATATCTAATCTGAATCTCCTTTGTCTCAGTTTAAGGCAATTTCTTCTGGACTTGTCACTGCTGGCACAGCAGAAGAGAGACCAGACCCCACCTCTCTACAACCTCCTTGCAGGTGATTGTAGGGAGTGATGAGGTCCCCCTGAACCTCTTCTTCTCCATCTAAACAACCCCAGATCCCTCACACCCTCCTCATACGATATTTTATCTCGACCCTTCACAAGCCTTGTTGCCCTTACAATACCTTTTGTTAAGTTAGCTTCTGGAAATATGACTGGGTTTTTTTTTGTTTTGAGTTCTTGCATTGTAACTAATTCAGTCATCTGCTGAAATCAAAGTTTTACAAAAATATTAGGCAAAGAATTAGCATGAGAATTAAAAGCTAAACTTGATTTGGAGAAAAACCTCCACTAAATTATTGTGATGTATGAAGAAATATCTTCTCAATCTGATTTGCAGTGTTTAGTACACAATTTTAAAGCATATAGTAATAAAATGAAGGGGAAAAAAAAAAGTTAAGATCATCCAGTAGAGTAATTTATTCACATTGTGGTGTACATTGAGGGCCTACCTACAGAGCATTTTTAGGGAGAAATCCTAACCTTACTGAAAAAAACCCATAGTGTGACCTTAGATAATTTTGAGATTATTTTTCTTCCTGTTCTTAAAATGTAGTAATTTGTATCTTTAGTCATAAGTATAAATTTAATTGTATCAAAGAACATGCATATGTTTTTCAGTTAGGTTATTTTTACAAAACATATAGATATATTACAGCACCAGGTGATAAATGATTGTCATAGACAACCGGACATCTGGTGTTAATGCCGTTGTCTCGGTTTATAAAATACTGGTCAGTTATTTTACAGGTAAATGACAAGGGAAGAAAAAAAGTGCAATCTTCATAAAAATATATAGGAATACATGCTATATCGTAATTTGTAGGGATTTTCTGCAATTTAAAGACAGTAACTAAAAGAGACTGAAAACATGATGATTTTTGTAAATGGTATTTCCCAAGAATAAATGCAAACTATTTAAACGCTATTTGTCTTATGTTAAACATAATCATACAGGCTACTGGGAAAATTCTCAAATAAATGTAAGAAGTTGTTTAGGAAACTAAGGGGGAAAATAATGTATTCCCTAACTAAAGGATTGAGCTAATTACAAAACAGTATTTTTTTTATGTACATAAAGGGCACACATGACACAGAAAGATAAATAGCTCTAGCTAAGTGTTTTATATTAATGTTTAAAGTTCAGTGGTGAGGTGAAATGCATATTCCTAAAACTATTTTAGGGTTTTTTTCACAGTTCCAGTTATTTACTAACACATACATAACATAAATGATAGTAAAACAAAGTCCTTAAGTTGTCTGACGGTTTCTTGGATGTTCTTTTTATTGAGTCATTTGGCCAAATCACTGCTATATCAGGTTGATGCTTTAGACTTTGTATCTGAATGAATAATATGAGCTTTAGCTGATCAAGGCGATTGCAATTCAGGAACTGTCCTGAACTGACCCCTTCAGAATACTAGTGCATGTTTCTGGGCTTGAAAAAATGAGACAAGTTGCTTGGTAAAATAAGTCTTTGAAGACTATACAATACATAATTCACATAATGACAAAGTATTTAGAAATCTGCTGGTCGAATCATCATAGTTGTAGCTTTGAGAGAGTATCCCGAGCCCTTCCAGTAGTACCACTTGATCCCGTTAAACTTGTTGTTGTTCTGTCGTAATGGATAATACATTCCATTGAGGTTAGAAGGACCACATGCATCAAACCACCATCCTGCAAGACAGAAGATAAACATCAGCAGAAGTAATTCTCAAAATAGTATTTAAGGTCTCTTTGTTGTCTGGAAATGAGAATGAAATTTAAACCCAGTTTTTTGTTCTTATGATTTGGAAGTGTCAGTATAAAATACTTGCCCCAGACTCAGGAAAGAAATGTATTTGTGTATCAACTACATATTCTTGAATCTTACACAACACATTGTATTTGAAAATTGAGAAGGGAAAGTGTTCAATCAATTTATTATACACATCAAACATTTCTGACAGTCTGAGGGCAGAACACAACTTGAACTATAATGGTATCGAGTTGCCTTTGGTTTTATCTACTGTTTGGTAAACTGTTCTTCCCAGATTTAAACTCCTTTCTTAATTCTTTCTAGAGGAATTATTCAGTTCTCTGGGCAGGTCAGTTCAAAACCTCCTGGAACTTTGTAAGAAGGAAAAGGAGAAAAAAAACACCCCAAATGTACTCTGTATCCATATAGTCCTGACTTGTTAGTGGGTCATAAGAAAAAAAAATTTTTATTAATAAAATAATATTTTTATATTTCTGTTATGGTGACGATAGTGTGTGTGTGTTCTGTTTTGCAGGGCAGTATTCCAACTATCCTTTTGGATAAACTGAAGCTGTCTTTTTTTCTTGCAGCTTGTGCTATAGAAAAATGAAAAATTGCTTAAGAGATAAAAGGAAGAGAAGCTAAATTTACAAAGCACTTGTTTACATTTCAGAACGTGGAATTCTGGATTGACAAATTATATAGAATTATTTGTGTAGTTGAAGATAAAAATACCACCTATAACTCAAATATAACTAGTGAACAATCATGAAAAAACAGGATATATCTGTGGTATATCTTTACCACTTCATAACTATATTGAAATAAGGAATTAAATTCTTGTACCATTCTGTGGCACTTGCAGCAAACAGCAGCTCCTTTTCTTCATGGGTAGTTAGGGAAAGGGCTTATCCATAAAGAATCAGGAGCCATTTCACTGACAAACAATCTCTGAAAGAGGTTTTTTGTAGGGAGTTGCGTTTTGATCTCTGAATGTACCTCATTCCTTGGAAGAGAAATCTGCTGTATCTCTGATTAGTTCCACAATTATAGACTTTCGTGTACCCCAACTTCAGGGATTTCTTTTCCCTCCAGTTTTAACTTTCTTGTTTTATTTTAACTAACTTTTGTCAAATGGTAAAATACTTCATCTGGAGTCACCATACTAGTATTTCTACCCATGAGTTTTGAACTTTTTTAATAATCAAAATTTACTAAGTCCAAATTATCTCTATTTATCTTGTAGACAATTTCAGTGCCAATAAAAATAGGAAGACTGAAAAACATAAAAACATTCGTACCTCCTGTTAGCATTTGTGAACATTTGCAAATACATTTGTCATTGTCTGCATCCTTTGTGCTAAAATCATTTCCTGGTTGGCTTATACTACTTATTTTGCCTGCTGTCCCAGTAAGTCCTTTAAGGTAAATCCTGTAGAAGTGAAAAATGGAAAAACAATTATTACGTGGAAGTTGATGGTAGTTGTCTGCAAAATAATGATGGAATAATTTGCAATAAATATCCTGTTCCAATAGTTTAATTCTCTTCTGGCCAATGTACTGCTGTAAGCTGTTTTTCAGCACAATGTTTTGATATGAACAGAAACGGTCAGCACAATATTCTAATGAACATGTGTTTGTTCATGTCAGATTAGAAGAAAATGAGAGCAAGTAGATAGTAACTTCTAGGACTTTTCTTACAGGTCATGTATTTATTAATACTAAAATGCGTTGTTGTACTTCAGTGCAACAGTGCATGAAATTATTTTATTGCGTTCAAAAGTTTAAACCAAAACTTTTTTTGATTCCTGTTTTGCTTTTAGTACAACATGGCAATTTAGCATTACAACCCCACCTATATGAGTTAACAGCCTTACTAGGAGTATTAATTATGAGCTAGTAAATGATATTTTAGAAGTTTCTCAATATTTCCCTTTCCATTGTCCAAATTAATCATCCTTTTCACATTGTTTATAAATTTTAGTGTTAGCTCATCACAAGTATTTTAGTTTGCTTCAATGCCCTGGCAAGGTAAGCTTTCAGTGAGGCTGCTGCTGTTGAGATCTGCTTGCACGGGTGCAAATGCAGTCTCTGTGGGGAGAGACACAGGACACTGGGCAGGACAATTACACAGCTATTCCTGTGTTACCTTGAATTGGAAGGACTTGAACCCTCTGCTCCCATAGTATCTTTTTGGTGAGTCTATTTCTGTAGCAAATAGTTCATGCTTCTCAGAGGCATTCGTTTAAAGAGGATATCTGACTCTCTGAGGAGAATTAACTTGTCCCCCAAACAGTCTTCATCATCAAATTATCTTTGTTTTTTTAACAGATTGTTTTAACCCATTTTATAGTCCCTATTTTAAAATCTAATTAATTAATTAATTAATTAATTTTTATTAATTTAGTTTTCAAAGGATCAGTTCATTACCGATTTTCTTTAAAATATCTTTTTTTAAAAATCACTGTTTTTTAAGATGAGTTCAAAATTATGTAAGCCAATTTCTAACATAAATGATATTAAAGGTTCCAAGCATCATGTATTCAAATATCATCTAAAGTTTATATTATTTACTTATTATTAATAATAAATTTTAAAGGTACAGTTTAGTATAACAGAAGATGAGAGGCAGTGGATGGAAATTGAAATGAGATATTCTGACTAGATATGAAAAAACTTTTTACTATGAGGAAAGACAAGTAAGTTGTGCCATCTCCACCTTTGGAGGTTTTCAAGACCCAAATAAAAAAACTCTGAGTAATCTGGTTTGACTTCCAGGAAGTTTGATTCAAACAAAGTCTGTTCTGATCTCAGTTTAATTTGAAGAAATTTCAGTTTTATGGCCGAACTCATATTCTTTCCAGCATTCAGAATGCATTAACCTTTTTAATGTAATGGATCATAGAATCATAGAATTGTTTGAGTTGGAAGGAACCTTAAAGATATCTAGATCCAACCCTTTTGCCATGGGCAGGGACATCTTCCACTAGATCAGGTTGCTCAAAGCCCCATTCAGCCTGGCCTTGAACACTGCCAAAGATGGGGCAGAGAAGATGTTCTTAACTGAATACTTTCTTTGTTGTTTTTTTTCTTTTTCATAATGTTAAATATATTCTTTAAATAACTCCAATGATAATTCCTTGTTTGGTTGCATATTGTAATAAAGTTGCTTTTAACATCTTAGTTTCAGTAATTATCTTTTAATATTGTAAATGGACAAGGGTAATCATCCGTTTTGCAAATGTTGCCTTTCTAAGTATTTTAAAGCATTACTTAAAAAAAAAAAATCTCTGCTGTAGATTCTGACTGTTTCCAGATGAAAAAATATTTACTTTGGAGTAGAGACAACTAAATACTACCAAGGCATTAAGATCTAACATTTTGTGGGGGGCAGATGCTGATAGTTTTGAATTGCTTTGTTTACATATAAGACCTGAGCTGAAATAACAGCATCACTTCTCTCAGGTGTCAGATTGACTATTTACAACAAACATTTGCTAGAGATCTTGGAGAAATTCATCTAAATGCAGACAATTTTGCTGTCCAATCACCCAAAGTTTCATGAATCCATAAGACTCTTACAAAGAAACATTTCATGGGCCATGCAGTAGGAAAGCATCTGTTATACTGTGAAGTCTAATTTCTTCTATAATAAATCAGACTATCTATTGCATTTACAGAGAGTCTGGTGAATGAACTATGAACTGCCCATATATTTCAGCTGTGGCTGATGCTATATCAAACTGTAATACTATGATACTATTTAAAGTGTATAATACTATGATAATATTTATATAAAATATTTATTTAAAATAGGTATTATTTCTTTTTTAAACCAAGAATTAATAAGAAGTTTTGAACCTTTACATTTTACAGGATTAGAGCATAAATAATAGGTCCATTAAAATTTGGTGTTTAAATTGACAAGTTGGTGGTGGGTGAAATGCACATTTTCACAGGTAGGAGGAGTTATTGAGAATCTAAGCTAGTGGCTCATGGAAGGATAAGGCCACATCACCTCAGTGTGCTCTTTATGACAACAGAGCAGTTCCTAAAAACCACTGACAAGGAAAGTATCTACCTTCTAGAAATGTATTTATTGCAGGGAATCAGGATTTGATAGCAACTGCAGACAGGTTCCTATTGTCCTAATGACTGTGCACTGTCACCCACTATATTGGCACACATATCCTATCTTATTCCATACAATCTCATCATCTTTGCATTTCGTGTGTTATACTCACCCAGGATGCACTAGTAAAATACACATTTTTTCCTCTGGGAAAAGATTTTTTTTTGTTGTTTTTTAGGCAAGAGATGAAAAATGGAGAAAACATTATTTTCTGAGTGAACTGGAAAATAGTCATTATTTGTATGAAATAAGTCCATGCATCTACAAGTTTAGAAAAACTAGTATCAGAACTTTTTTTTAATTAGATCTAATTTTTCTGCTTACCTGTATTTTTGTTCTTCACTTGCTAGAGAGAAGTGGTCATATAATGAATATGCTTCATTTCCTTCCCAGTCTTTCAGTTGTATTTTAAGAACATAACGCTTCTGATTAGTCAGTTGAGAAACAAACTCATTTCCCAGCCAGTACTCCCCAGCAGGATCACCAAATCCCTGTAATTCAGGTTGTATATTTAAATAGCTTTCTTTGGGTGGGTTTTTTTCCTTTAAGTTTCAAATGATCACTTTATCAGTTTTTACATTTAATAGTTTTCAGCCTGTCAACTATGAATTTTACTGTGTCCATGGGGGTTATTGATCTGTAATGTTTCAAAGAGTTGATTTCAGCAAGGACAAGCTCAGGAATCTGAAACAGTGAATCAATATTACTTAATAGACTTGGAGCAGTTCCTACTGTTGCCACTAGAAACACAAATATAAATAACTCAAAAAATGTAGACATACGATGGAACAGTTGATTAAAAAAAAGTAAAGTTTCTCTTTTAAAACAAACATCACACTTGCACGTCTGCTTAGGCAAACAACTTACACTACTCTGATGGGCAAAGACAACTTTTTAAAGTTGCTTACATTCTAAGGATGCTATTAATATAACTTTAGCATATTAGATTTCAAATAATAATAACAGCTGATATTAAAGCTTCAGAGGACATTGTTTACCATCTTGTATTCCTTCCAAGTCCGGTGGAAGTCCACACTGCCATCTTCTCGTTTCTGAATAACTGTCCAACCTCCTCCACCAGTTTCCATGTCACAGTAGGCCTACCAGAGTAAGCATGTAACAGCCTAAGTGCATGCAGTCACAACAAAACAAAACCAGAAATCATGTAATTTGCATCATTCTACATAGTGGCAAGTCGTGTGCAAAATATGAGTTAACCTAAAAATGCAAGTTTTCATAGCTTTCATGTAAATCAGCTGTGGTTGTCTGCAAATAAATGTGATTCCTTAGTATATATCACACTTAACAGAATACCTTAACATCTTTCACTTCTCCATCTTTTTTTTTGTGAGAGATCCATTCAGATTTCCCATAACTGGTCAGCATATAGATACTGCTAAATTCAGGCAATGAACAAACTGAAATATATTTTTATTATCCCAGTCATTGTTCAATGCCTTTGCAAATGGTCTGATCCCAAAGTTAAATCTAAGTGTATTATCTGAAAGTTGTGTCTTAAAGCCACGTAATTATACAGACTGCAATGAGTATCTTCTGTGCTTGAACGAAAAGTAACAACTATAAGATATTTCCAAATATTCATAAATCACCTTTGAATCTAACAAGTTATGGCTAAAAATTTGAAAAGGCTGACATATAATAAGCAGTTTACTGAACTCAGTTTTAGAATACCCAATAAATGCATCCCTGCCACAGTAAAATTCAAGTTTATAGGTGACTTGTTCAATTAGTCTCACAGATTAAAACACTTCAGTGTCAGAGGTGAAAGGTATTTCTGATTGCCATTATAGTGATGGGAAAAAAGTACTTTGAAAATTAATTGGAATTCGAGAGTGATGTTTGGGAGAAGTAGGGGATAAGTTAATAAAATTTTGTGACTATGAGAATATCCAGTTTTTCTTGAGAAAGGATTTAAAATTGTTGCATTTAATTCTGCTTTTCCCAAAACTAACAGAATAATTATATTCTGTTATATATATATTTATATAATGATATAATTATTAGATTATAATATTATAATTATAATATTAATTAGATGGGTGAAGTCAGTGGAGCTAAGCTGGTGTAAGAAAGTACAATGAAAGTCAGACTGAAGTCAGTATCTCTTTAAATTGCATGTTAATACATATACTATCTTTAGGAAAGATACTTAATTTCTTGTACAAGTATTCCTGTTTGGAGAATTATCAATTAATGTTTTCTCATTTGTAAGTTTATTTTTTTTCACCACTTTCTGTCAAGACATGAAGTTCAGAGCCTTCTTCAGAATCACTTCATATCTTTGAAAATTTTTTAATTCTAGTTTGAGTATTAAACTATATTAACTTCTAATCTGTATTCTAGATCTTTCACTCCATAAGTGAAGTTGTGTCTTCCCATTTATAGTATTATAAGAAATACTGACTTTTTATACTTCGATAGGGTATTTTATCTTTAGAGTAATTAAATTAATAATTTTAAAAGAAACTAGGCAAGTACTTCATTATTAATTTCGATGTTTCCTTCTTTGTTTAACAGTTCTCTCAGTAGTCTTACTTCTTGCCTAACTGCTGCTTGTCACAATATGCCTATAAATGCTCCAAATCATGACTGGGTGACACTGAAGCTGTAATGTCTTTTTCGTCCTCTTCTATGGGAGACTGTCTTATCAGTGTTAGCAGTTAGCAGATATGAGCTCTATGAACTGTTAGACATCCTGGAAATTCATTGAAAAATTATGACTTCAGAGAAGCCAGTTTCCTTCTGTGCTGTGGTAGTGTTATGTGTGTCATTTTGGGAAGTAAAATGTGCTCCTTACTAAGTTTTCAATATAGTTGGCTCTTTTAGGCTTTGTGTATTGTACGTATGTTGTACACTCACATGTATTTATATAAATCAGTTCTATAGTTCAAGCAGTGTCATATATACTGTTGAAAGGTGTCGGACTTTGGAAAGGAAAAAAAAATCCTTACAGCTGCAAATATCAAATATATTAGTGTTTCAACAGCCTGTTGCATATTGGAAATCCAAAGCAGATACTGTATTTTAAGCTTGCAGTAGGCTCTGTTCAACATCAGAGAATCACAAGTCATTCAGATGGAGATTTTTAGGGAAGATAAAATAAATAAGGAAAAGAGTTGGATAAGGGATTACTTTTTAAAGTATGTCTTGTAAATGGAATTTAATTGAAAGCAGCAACCTCAATTTATACTGATGTATGCAATTCCTTACACCTCAAAGTTTGTTTTTTGTTTGGCTTTACTAACATCTGTATTTAATGACTGGTAAAATTTGATAATAGTGTATAAATTAAGTTAGTTAAAATAAAAATTCCCTTCAAAGGAAAGATTGGATATAAGGTATTGTAAGAGAAGATCAGTCTGTTTTAGAAGACTAAATCATGATGTGTAATGTATATGTGAAAACTAATTTCCAGAGAGGGCTATGAAGAGGGATACTAGGAATAAGCTAAAGCAGATGCAAATACTTTTTTAAGCATCAATACAAGTTTAAAAGCTGATTTAACAATGATCAAATATTACTGGTTGTAGATAAAGTTGACTCTGAAGCTTCACCCCACTTAAAAGAACAGTATAAGCAGCCAGATGGAAAATAGAACTGTTTCACCCTTCTCTGAAATATGTAGTTTCACTGGGAGGCCATGTATTAATTTATTTGAGCCATGGGTTTAGCCTGATATTGCTATTGTAGATTTTAATTGATATTTTTTGAATGTTATGTGCAATTTCTTTTACACCTATCATCTAAATTTCAATTTAGTTGGAATTAATACTTTGAAAAAATCAATGTCTTTAAATAGCATTTTATTTTGTTCTAATGAGATTAAAATATAAATAATAAATGACTGCGAATGTCTATAATAAAATATTCCTGTTACAGGCAGTACCCCTTTTTTAAGTGAATGGTAAGTCAACTAGCTTTAATAGACACTATAGATTCTTTGAGATAAATGCTGGGGTACTGCAAATTAGTTCCCAAAGGAAAAAAGCAACTCACTAGGAACTGAAAAACATAATGAGAAATTGAAGAGATGACCATGAAAACCTCATGTAAATTTTTCTTACCAGTATTAAAAGTTTGCATAAATTTGGAAGTATAATTTTTCCACACCAAAAAAATTTCATGTCAATCAACTCTAAGTCTTTCTCTTAACCTATTACTAGAACAGAATTTTTCTGACCTTTCAACCTATTCTAGGTTTTATAGTCAAAAGAAAGATATGTAACATTTCATGAAACTAGTAAAAATAGATACCAAGATTAGGCGGGCAGCAGGAGTCTTCAAACAGATGCCAAAAAGAATAAAGAGATTAGCCTCTCATGTTACAACAAATTGAAACGGGGAGTATTTGATGTATCTTGTGAACTGTTTCAGTACTTACAGTTCTAGCAGCTGTAGCACTGTAAGAGGGTCTTTGGGGTATAAGTGTTTTCAGACCTACTTTGTGAATGGTAAGGCTCAGGCTGTTATCAGGATGAAGAGCCACTGCAATTTTTATAGCAAAGCAAGTGCAGTCGCTAAATCTTTGCAGTGACCCTTTCCATCACTTCCAGCTGTTGTCTGAACTCTTTTGAGTCATTATGTCCAATGATTTTTGTATTCTTCTATCTCCTAGAGATGTGACTAGATAAGAACTACAGTCTAATTGGTTCACAAGATTGCTGTAAACATAAAACTATTAACTTTTCCTAGTTTTGCCTCTGCCATTTTTCCTTGTGTCAGCAGTCTTTTGCTGTTTTCCTCAGTGTTTTGAAAAGGACTTAGCTTTTGTTCTGGTGCAGACTGGAAAGTTTGAAAATATTAATGGAATTAAATAATTGTTTTCCTCTCAGTTGTCATATGAAATTCCTTAGTTTTGGATTATGATGGGAGACAAATTAGTAATGTGGGATCAGTTACAGATTACACAGAAGTTGTTTATAAGCCTGTTGGGAGGTCAGAAGGTGTTACAAGAGGAAAAGACAAAAACATAAACAGCAGTGCAGCACTTTTGGCAAATAAAAAAGGTCACTCTGTTTCCTGGTCTGAGTAGCTATCCACATCATAAACAGTTGAAAATGGTGTAATGTTGATTGTTCCTAACCTTCACTTCCCTTGACAACTCCTCTAATGCATTTACATTTGAATAAAAAATCAGCATCAGGTTAAAACTTTTTAGTCTCTTATTTTCAATGTCAAAGGGTAAGTAAAACCTTCCCTGTCTTTTTCTATCTGAAATGGACAGAATAAAATTTTAATTCTTTAATATTATTAAATGACTGATTTCATACTAAATGAAATTATTATATTTGAACTACATTTTTATTTTTTAACCTAGTAAATTACCAAAATTGCATTAAGTATTTTAAGACTCCATGTTCAAATGTAAGGCATTTGATATTTTATAGTCTAGGAAATTTGTACTTTTGAAAATCAGTGTTAAAGTTTATTTTTATTCTGTAATATATCATGCACTTGCTTTTAGAAAATATGCATGCTCTGTATACTATATTTGAGAGTGAAATTAAAACGAAAGATAAAAACTTGAGACAAGTCATAGTAAGAGAACCAAGGAATGTAAACTTTCCTGAATTGTCTAACAAAGACTGCTGCATTCTATTACTTTAGAGATGCAATAGCTTTCATCTCCCTTAGCTTTTAAAATTGTGATTGCAGATATTTATGCTATTTAAATGTCACTCAACTTCATTTATAATAAAACACTTCATTGAATCTTATGTAACTCATTTTCTTGTGAAATGGATGTATTTAGAAAAGATTATTCTAAAGGAAAACCAGCTTCTTTTTTTTCCCCCAAGAGAAGCAGAATACAAATAACTTCTCTAGATTACATCTACAAAAAAATTACAGGTTTTATCTATTGTATTTTATAGATCCCAAACAAATTGCTTATTTCCTTTAGCTGAGAGTTTTGTAAGTGTAAAGATCACAGTCTGGCTTGGGATAAATGAAGTCCTAACACTTCAAAGGCTAGTCACTGGTGAACTTCATTTCTAAACCTTTGCTTGGGAATAAAAATGCTTTCTGTCTCAGTGCTTTACCAATTCCTTTTCCACATTGCACCTCTTTTTCCACTGCTTTTTTACATTTTCTGCTAATTTTTCTGATGCAATAAAGTAGAGCCTTAGGAATTCTTTAAAATATTTCATATTTTGTGTAAAGGAAATATCTACAGTAGAATTTAGGAAAAAAATCATAAAATTATTTGATGTTTGTCTAAGAAATATATTAAGCACTTTTTATATTCATATAATATATTAATATGTCCCTTAGCCTCCTCAGCCTGCTGTGCTTTCATCATGTGAGCCCCACTCCTCCAAATGCTTGCTCCAGGTTTTTGGTTCTTTGTCCTCACAATCCACCTGGGACTTTTCTCCCTTTCAGGTTCTATTGATTGTTTCAACTGAATTATACCATCTGAAGCTTTATCATTTTATTTACTTCAGTAGATGGAGAATCTCTGTCAGGCATCCAGTGTATCATCCAGTGAATGCCATTTTTAGCTCAAAGTCTCTTCTACAGAGGTATGGCATACTGATTTAACTTAAATTGACATTGAACTTCATTTCAGTTAAACACATAGGTGAAAAAATATACATAGAGGAATTAAAACTAATCTAGTTAAACCCCTGCAAACACACCTTTTATATGAATCAGTAGTAGTATTTTCCAGAAAAATCGTCTCTGTTAGACAGTGTCTAATTGCTAATAAAATTGTTACACAAATGTCCTTAAAACTCTGTGATACAAAGAACTGAAACCCATATATGGGTCCAGTACTACTAGATTGCTTTCATGAGTATAAATCCATCAGTAATCTTCCATGCTCCTGACTTTACTTCCTTTTGCCACCTGAAGAGCCTTGGGCTTATGAAGGAGCTAAGATCTTAAAGGAGACAGGAGTGTGCTGATCATGCAGAGCAACTCTGTTGGAGTTACAGATTTTATAAAGAAATTACAGTACCTTATTGATTTAATTACATTAATTATGTGGGAAAAAGAATTAAATTCCGGCATGATGAAGCAGACAACAAAATGTTACTTATTTCAACTGAGCCAGGATTTCACCTGAAGGACTTTTTTCTTCCTGTGAGATACTCAGATCTAGGAGTGATTAAATGTTTAGAAAAAACTTGGTAAGTAGTAAACTTCACTATTAACTAGCCTTTAAAATAGCATATTTGCCAGATCAAATAACCTTTAACATGCAGTATGCCTAGGTAGCTCTTTATAGTCATCCTACCTTCTTCTCTTGTGCAGTGTTTGAAACTGTTAAAGTGTAGATTCCGCTTGTTGTCAGTCCAGATTTGAAAGCTTCAGCACAGTCTTTGAAGCTGATTTGCTCCTCTTTGGCTATGTAGTTGTTCTTAGCTGTTAAAAATACAACAGAAATTGAAGGCATTAATAGGAGATGAATGATGTTACTAAGAATCAATTTATGGTATAATTGGCTTAAAGCAGTTCCAAAAAATATGTCTGGTCCTGAAAGAAATGTCAGATCAAGGTAATTATTATGTGTGTTGTTACTTTGTATCATTTAGAGACTTTTTTCTGATAGGACTGTGAAAAGTGCCAAGACTTACTAGTATATTGAATGAGAAAACTCAGGATATTGCGTTTCATTCAGTTGAACAGTTTCTGCTTCCACTCATTGCCCTGGCTGGACTCCTACATGCATTACAACCTATGCCTGCATTAAGTACTATATACATATCTAAGTAGCAAATTATCCTGTTAATAATGACTTTTGGCCAGTACTCTTATATTATGAAATAAGTTATGAAACCTTTTATAGTGCAGTAGACTGGTGGAACTACCCTTAAGAAGTTTTAAGGTTTTGGTTTTTTGCCCCTGCACTGAGCAGGAACAACTTTGTATGTACCAAGCTAAAGCTTGGTGGCTCAGCCCAACTCACTAAAGACACATATCTTCTGGAATTCATTTGTGTAAAAAATACATTTTCATATGTCTAAGCCTTCTTATTCAACAGAACATTCTAAGGCTCATCTTTTTGTTCAGTTCTTTATTAACTATGGAGGTTGGAATTTCCTGGCATTTCGCCTGCTGACTGATATTTCATATTTGACCCTTTTGGGTTTGGTTCTGTGTATTTTCCCTTTTAATCTAATCTAACAATCACAGTCAGTTACTACAAAGGTTTAGGTGCCATATAAATACATGCTTATATTACAGTTGCTTATTATGTTCTTTTTAGCTTGCTTATTCATTATTTACCTGTTTAAGTGCTTTGCCTTAAATAGAAAAATAACACATTCAGTGTTTTAATTGCTTTTCCACACTCTATTGTTTGCATACTGTCTTAGAAGCTTTCCCTGCTAATTTTGTCTTTTTGGCAAACACTCATTATTTTTTCCACTCTGGGTTTAATGGTGCTGTAGCCAACATGGCTTTGACTTGTTTACTTATTTGTGCACTAGCACAGCAGATAACATCAGGAGGAACATGTACAGCCTTGGTATTTAAGGGAATAGCGTCAGTTATTAAGACAAAAAAACTTGGAATTTACTTTGTTTAGAAAAACCAACAACCTATGTTATGATAATAACATGTAGGACAATACTAAAAGCGAGGACTTCCAAACACCCTTTTTCTTTTCTGTGATCCACCTTACACTAATGTATTTAGACCACCTATACTGTCTTTCAAGTTCTAATGACAACTTTTAACACTTTTTCCCAGTATTTAATTTTAAATCCTTTCTTTAGAGGTTCTGTATGCTTCTGTATTTTCAGCCCCGAGAATTTTACAGGCAAATGTGCCAGATTCTACAGTATTTTAGAACAGCTTCTTAATCTGTCCAATTTCATATCCAACATGAAATCCAAGACAGGGAATGTTTAAATCCTGTGTAGTCATAACTTTCAGTTTATGGTTTGTGGGTTTTCTTATGGAGCACGTGAATCTGCATAAACCTGGAAGCTATGCTTGGTAACTATGATTTGTTGCAGGATTGTCAGGCATTTAGGGGTGAAATTATTGCCTTTGAAGTTTGCTAGGCTGAAGGATTTTTAGGATGAACACGGGTACCTTGGTGAAGAACTTGTGGTAATACCTGTGGTGCTGGCCTGGTGCTTTCTGGTTTTGGGGGCTAAAAACTATGCCTGTGCTTATTTCTTTGCTTTTGGTAGCTACTATAATTTGCCTTTTCTTTTATAAACTTGATGTGCATAAAGCAATGTGAGGTGGCAGAAACATTCTCAGTGAGCCAGGAAAAAAAGTTGCAGGCCTACAATATGCAGTCTCACCTAGATATATGGTCGAGGGAGTGTATACTGCCACTATATAATGCCATGTGAGATGAATGATACTTGGCATCTCTATATTTTGTTGAACCACTGGAAAATTGGTTAAGAAGATAAACCAGAGAAGATAAACGAAGTGTTGAAAAGAAATCACATAAATGTGGTTGTTTCTCCCATCCTCTAAAAAGCAGGTTAATTAACTCAGATGCAGAATTTACGGCAAAAAATACAGACTTTTTGAAAAGCAGAAATGTGTCAGAACTAGTTGTAAGACTACAGGTACCAATGCACACAAATTAGGAAGTAGCACTGAAATGATATAAGCATGTCTGCTTTAACTTACAGTTTGGTGTTGATATCATAGTAAGCAAGCTATGAACCGTCTCCATCAGATCATGTTGCTGTTTTTGCAGAACTGAGTTGTTTACTGTAGCTGTAACTAACTGTTTTTCTAGTTCTTCTATAATAGAATTCTGTCTGGCTACTAGGACTTGAAGCTGATCTTTTTCATCTTTTATTGACTTCAGCTGAAGCATGTGCTTGTCTTCCATCTCAAGAACTCTTTTTTCTAAAAAGCTAAATAAAAGATTACAATTAGGCTCTCCAGAAACAATTTTGAGCTGATGTCAAAAGAACCAAGCATGTTGTACAAGTTTCTTTCTTCATAAACACTCAACTTCATTCTCTGATGCAATGCAAGCAGTAGATAATTAAATGAAAGTTTAGTTTGATACATACGTTTTAATTTATTATATAAGTGCACTAATACAGAACATTATGTACTATAGTGTGTATTGCAGGCTTTAGAAGTGTAATAATTGAGTGTTTGATAATTTAACATCCTTAAAGAAAAGATAAAGTGACTAAGTTTTCACGGGTTTACCCTATTAAAATACAAAACTTATTTAAAGATGTAACTATAATAAAATACTATAATATAATAAGTTACATACGATATTATCCTATAATAAAATACATAACAAAAATGTTATGGCATTAAGACAGGGAAACATGCAAATAGTTACTTGAAGATGGGTTACCCTTCTCCAGTTTTGGAGCTGGTATTATTAGGGAATTGGCTGGGAACATTATTTCACTGCTAATTGTTCTGGTACAGAGTTTGAGAAAGCTGATATTAAAAGATGCAAAACCAGAAGAGAGAAGTTTATGTAAAATCCATTACTGTTATTGAAAAAAAAATCCTGACCCTTATATATAATTATGTTTCAAGCAGATTAGTTCAATGCAGATTGTATTTTGTTAGGTGAGAAACAATGCTTTTGTGTTTTATGTGGATGTTTCAAAGGCAGTCTAAAGTCTGCTGAGTTCAACACCAAAAAACGTGACCTTTTAAAAATGAGTATTTCCTTTGCTTTCCATTTGATAAGGATGCTTGTTTTTCTTAAGTTGGTAGATAAAACCTTTAGGGAACATACATAAATGTAGTAGAGTAGTGAACAAAAATGTCAAAACATGTCTCCTGGGTTTCTTAAGCTAATTCTTTCAAAGAAAAAGCACTTTGCACATATGGTTCTCATTGAAAAACATTGCTTTGAAGGAGAAAACTTACTGTTATTGTTGCTTTTAGATTCCTCTGTAAACTATTTATTGCCAAAAGTAAAATAAGACTGTGGTGATATGGAAACGAAACTAGCTGAAAAAAGGTAGGAGCCTTTGGACCAGAGCCGAGTCCAGAAAAGGATAGGAGTGATAGTTGGCTATTGGTCAATTTCAAAACATAGGTTCTTAGAAAAGGTTGAATATGATTAGTACTTTATTTTTCTCACTACATTAGATAAAAATTGTAGCAATGACCTGGTTAATCATTAGGATAGCTGTGTAGTACATGGAAATAAATTTTTGGAGATGTGGTTAAACTCAATTAGTTGAATCAGGTTACACCAAATTCATCTGGATAAGTCTAAAGAAGAATATAAAGTGGGTACAACTGAAGTACTGTTTCAGTTTTAGCCTTAAGTTCCTCATATAAAGGAGAACTTTAGATCATGAAGAGCAATATATAAAAAGAACACAAGAATAAACTTGCATGAATCTTCTAGGTTTTAAGTAATATATGACCTTTGTAATGAGTGTGGGTAGCATTTTGTAATCAGTTTGGAGAGCTTGTGTACAAACCCTTATTTTCCTACTTGACTACATTTGTTTCTAAACAATTAGAATGGCACTTCATGAATAGCATTTTATTGGGCTGTGCAAACTTACCTGTTTTTTTCTTGTAATTTAGTTATCTCATTGGTCTGATCTGAAATCTGTCTTTCTAGTTTGTTTGTTGAAAGAGAGTGTTCCAAAAGCTGAAGTTCAAGTCGGGTTGTCTGGTTTAATACCTGAAAAAAATTTACAAAAAAAACCTTTTTAAAAAATATATTTCTTTTAAATAAATTGTAATTTTGTTGCAAAATCATGCAAATCTCTGTGTACACCTACAATTAAAAAATATTTTTCAACACCTAATTTAGGCACAAATGTTCATAGAATCAAAATGAAGAAGAATACACAGAGTTGCACAATTTTGTTATTATACTACTGTATATCATTGGGAATATTTCAGTAGTATGCTATGTTTCTTATGAGAGTTACTGTATACTTTAGCTTTGCAGTTATACCTTCCCCTCTGTTAAATTCTTATTTCATTACTGGAATTACTGTAGTTGTGGCTCAAAAAATGAGTTGAGTTGTTTTCCCCATCTGGTGTTGAAAGTAAGTCTCTCACTTGCTGAAATCTTGGCACAGTCCTGAAATCACTTGGTAGTTTTCTCCTAGCTATTTTATTCAATCCCAAATTATATTTTGAACTGTTTACCATGGGAACCACACTTTGGTCGATTCATTCTTTGCATTTTAATATTTCCTTTTCTCTACACATTGTTTACAATTTATTTGCATCTTTAAATGAAGAAATGCAGATACTAGGAAACACATAAGATACTCTATAGTTTGTATTTCATTACTTTGAGGCAAGTTTTCTAGAAATATTTTCTAATTGTTTTAGAATAGCTTTTCTAATTCAACAGAATTTGGCTTTCCTTGACAGGAAGAATTGATTACTCATGTCCTTCATGCTGAACAGTTATTCAGGACATGATTTCACACTTAAGTGTAATTGAAAACTATTGCCAAAAGTAGGTGTCCTTGAGAGAGCAATTGTTTGGTTAATTTCCTTATGTTGCTAATTAAGCCTTTAACTCAGTCACCAGTAATTTCAAGCAGAGAAGGAAAGTTACAGTGATGATTTTCTTCCTCTAAGCAGAAAATAACTGAGTAATTTCCATAAAGACATTACTGTAAATTATTAAATACATTCTTTCAGTGTGTGCAAAATATTAGGCTCCTGAATAATACAATGGAAGTTGAACTCATTATGACTCTGAGCTATGAATTATCAGTTTATCAAAGAGTTCACAAAGTCTTGATTTAGGTTAAAAAATGTAATTTAATTCACTGGGTGAATTCTATCAATAGCAAAACGTCTAACAAGGGCTTTAGGCTTTGCATACTTTTTATATTATACAAAATATTATGTGCTACATGATATATCGATTATTTGTTTTTGCAATGATAGATCTGCATCTCCCTACCCTGTCTGCAAAACTACAAATACGTACCTTTCTACATGAATTGGACTTGTCCTTCTACTAATATCTGCATTCTGTTTAACAGAACATCTTATTGTACTTAATGCTTTTCAGTTAAAACCTATTTGTTTTTGTTTGAAGTTAATAAACGTACAGTAGACAAGTTTCTTTCTGTGTGAATATACTTTTCTAGCAGCCTCCTAATTTCTTTATTGATTAATAACAGTGAACTGTTATCCCACTGAGAGTTATCTGTGAAAAAATCCATTAAAAAGACATGGTTCTCTTGAAAAGCTTAAAAAAAAAAAAAGGAAAGATTTGGTTTAAAAAAGCAATTAAGCAGGTAAATGGAACAAAGACAGTTTTAAGAGACTTGTTTAGTTAAGATTAGTAATGAGAGAGCTGTATAAAGCACACTAGGACCCAACTGATGCCTGGATATAGTATAGTAGTTTTAAATACATTCTCTTTAGAGATTTATTTAATAATTGTCTTTCTAGACTTACTTTTATACTGTAATGAAAATCACTCAAGTGACAACACTGGGCTTGAGATGGAACTATTTATTACCAAATACCGTTTCCTTAAGTTAGGTAGAACTGTGGGTCATAAATGTTGACTTCTAATTGTTGAACAGAAGCATGTAACACTAAACTGTTAAATGCCTATACATTTAGTAGTGTTTGGGAAGCAGAAGCATTTTGAGGTTGAAATTCATTACTTACTTGTGCTTCAACATCTGTTAATTTGCGGGTCTGTTCAGCTGTTTGATTTAGCAAGTTTGTGCCTATTTCAATCATTACTGCAGTCTGGTTCTGCACTGCAGTTTGCTGGATCTCTACCATTTCTTTCTTCATACTGTCTTGGATGTAATTCTCAAGCTACATGGGAAAGGAAAGAGAGAAGATAGTTGCATTCTTTAAATGTTGGAAAGGGGGTAGTACAGTCAGCCTGCTGGCAGCCTTGCTAAACAAATTTGGTCCTTGTCCTTGTCTATTATGTATTTATGTTAAGTTTCCCAACATTAAGCTCCGTGAGAGGAAGACCAAATGTGACAAGGAATGTGTGGCCACTCGTTTTCTAAAGGCAGGGACAGAGATTTGCAGGAGGTAGGTAGTAGGCACAGTGATGAAAGTGCTTGAGTACTTGGGTACTTGGAAGACTTTCTGCCCTAGTGCTCCCACCATTGTCCCCATCAGAGAAGCTTCACCAGCTTTGGCAGTGATGAGAATTTTTTAGAAGATAAAAGTTTAGAAGTTTAGTCATCTTCCTGTATTTACACTTAACTATTTTTACAGCATTTTTCATCACATGACTAGAAGTCAGAGAAGAGGTCAGATGTCATTTAACACTGTTATGTGTGTATTTTTATCAGTGAGAATTACAAATAAAGACACAAAACAATAGAAAAAGCTTTAAATACTTTAAATGCTTAATATAGTAAGTAGTCATTTTATAACAGAGTACCCTGCTATCAAGGAAAATAAGGAGAAAGGAAGTAGGAAGGAGAAAAGTAAAGAAGACTTTTGCATAAATTTTTCTACCTATCTAGATTATGAAAAAGCAGTCTGATTTTTCTTATACTTCTTTACTTCTTGTCAGTAATTGCAAATATTTCGTATTTCTTCGTGTCATTGCTTATGTTTGAATTCATAAAAATCTAGGCAACGAGACTTCATTTATTTCCATTGACTGAGGAAATTTATAGAATCAAACTTCCACTTCACTCCAACACTGTTCTATCAAGAAAACCGTAATAAATTTTGAGCTTCATGCTTTACCTACAAAGAGGATATACTAGCTAATAAAAAATAGCTAGTGTCATTAAGCACAAATGTTAATACAACACCAATTCCTAATCTAAGTGAAATGGTAGAACAGGTTGATATCTTGATTTTTTAAAAAATAATATTTTGATAGTCTTATCTTGATATGAATGATGGCTTGTAGTAAGGAGAGACTTCGAACTTTATTTTATGGCTACTTTCCATATCAGTGAGGAAAAAGCATATTGTGATTTAATATTAATAATAACCCAGTGTTCAGATATAACCATTCCACTTCCAACCAGCTAAAGATCAATGGGAAGATCTATCAGCTTTGAATATTTAAGGTTTCCCCCTTAAATATTACTTGAGCAAGGACTGGGTTAATTTTTCTTACTTCACAGTTGTGATTTAAGAGTGGCAAATGAAGAAAACAGGGTATATTAAGAAACCAAAACCTCTAAAACTGGTAGTATATTCTCACGTTTGAAGTGACCATTATTTCTTGATGTCCAGTGTAACCAAACTGTCAGAGCTGTATTTCTTTGTTCATTCCAGTCTCCCCCTGCAGCTGGTGAACTGCAATGCACAACAGGGCATTTCTGACCTGGCATAAGCTTTGACCCACATCTACTGTTCTGCTCCATGAACATACTTACTTCTCAAGTGTACCACAAAGATTTAAAACCAGCCTTTAGGCAGCCTTTACATGCTCTTTGCATAATGATCTTTTTGAATACTAGAAGTAAGCATACAATCAGCTGGGTTTTGACATAATTTAACATGGCTATCTTCAATTGCCAACATACTACGTTAATTAGAGTTGTTCACTATACTCAGGGTTGATTCTTAAGTATTACCTTTTGCTCCAGGCTATTCCTCATTTTCAAAAGCTTCTCAACCCAGATACAAATCTAATTTGACCAAACATGTTGGAATTTTTTTAATTCTTTGATGACATCTTTTAGGTCAGCTTCTTCTTTTATGTTGGACAACCATCAGTGCCTTTTAATTGAGTAGTAATAGTAAGGTATCTTTGGTCCTTGATCATTAGACTATGAGTATTAGACTATGAGTCAGAGTATAGTGATAATTTATTTTAAAAGGCGACGCAAATTGGTATTTGGTGGATCATAGTCAAAGGATGTTTGCAACATTCTGAAGATTTTTATATAGATAAAAGTAATTTTTCATTAAAGTGAGATGAAGACCAAGAATAAAAACTAATAAGTGTCCCTCTGAAAAGGCTAGACATCTGGGAATTAAATGATTTATGAGTCCAAATTAACTTGCGCAATCTAGCAGACAGACATCATTCTAGATAACATTGAAAAAAACTTTGCTCAAATGCAGCTCTGGTAAAAGACTATGAAGTGAGATCTCCAAATGCATTTTATTTGCATTAAGTACGGAAATGCCTTTATCAAGATAAGGATATGGCTTCACCTGACAGGCTCACTGCATTGAAAATACTGCATCATCTTTAATTTAGAAAAAAAGGCCCAAAATAAAAAGAAAGACAGTAATAAACAGATCAACAAAGAAAAATCGTTAATGAGCTTTGATTCTTTCATTAAGTAATTGTGGATATTTAACTTCCTTCTTCAAGGTTCTTTGCTCACCAAGGAGAGAGCAGAATGAGAATCTGAGCAAAGTCATCTCTGCATATAGGATTACAGAACTGCATGACTTCTTTGAAATTGTTATCACTGAGTTATTCCAAAACACACTACTAGAAAATGAGTTAATTCTGGGCTTAAAGGTAAGGTAAACATTTTATGGTAGGCTTAGGCAATTGCCCAGTTCAAACACACAGATGTAAGGTTGCTCTGAATACAGTATGCAAAACCCGTGATTACAATTTAAGGCATGTGGTGGTTCTGGTTGCCAGATTTTTATACCCCTTGTCACTGTACTTGAAACCTTGGAAAACAGTTTTGTTTGGACACACAGATCAGCATTTTCATAATTTATCTTATTCTAATATCCCTGAGTGTAAGCCTATCTCCAAGTATCTGATCTCTTTCAAATAATTTCCTATTTATGTGGGGATTTCCAAATCACTGAAGTATTCTCATGACTCCAGTTTTAAGTTTGTCTTCACATCTGTTTTTCAACTTAAAAATATTAAATATGTAACTTAGGGAATATGGTATCTGTGCTTACTTGAAAGCATAAAATGTGAACACCAAAAGGGATTTAAGATTTAAAGCCAGTTTCATTATCTGACTCATTTATTCTAATTTGGAGCAACATGAAGCATCAAAATTATAATGACCTATTAAGTGGCTTTGGAGCTTCTTGTGTTTTTTTCCCTAAAAGTCCTACAAATCATGATTACATAAAACCCTTCTGTTTTTTCCTTCATATTCAGTAATCTTCTCCCACTTTTGTACATTCTCTGCATGTACACGTCATAAAATCTCTTTTTCTGACCTGAACCAAGATATGCACTGATCCCCCTCTGCTTATATCCCCTCTCTCATCATCATACAATGCAAAACTGTAGAAAGTAGCACTTTTTACAGCTACAACGTCCTAACTTTTTCTTAGTGGCAGGTGCTTACTTTCATCTTTCTTCACAGAGGAATAAAGGAACGACTTTCATCCAAATGCCCCACCATGTCCCACTGACCTTAGTGACAGCAGAACATGTTCCCACTGCATACCCCTGGCAAGCAAAGCCCTTGGGTTTCGCTGAGAGGGTGGTGCAAGAACTTTTTTAACACCAGCTCCAGTTCCCACAGCCACAGTGAGCTCCACTGACAGCCCTGGGGATTAGCAGCCATTTTGCAGGAGTGCAGTTCTTTGTGGCACATTTCTTTGTAGGGTACTATTCATCAGCTCCTGCCAAGGAGCCTCCTTTCTTTGTAAGCAGTAGCACACTCAGAGTTTCTGAAGGGGGAAGAATAGCTTGGCTAAAAAAGAGTTTTAAAAGAGGAAAGGACATAGGAATGAATGCCTCAGTGCCCCATCCATCACTCAGGTTTGGTAGTTTGAACAGCATGTCTGTCTTCTTCAATATTTTGCTCAAATCTGGAAGATGAAACTGGGATTATTTGCCAGATTTCTTCCTTAACATGGTGCTAGCTATGGTTTAATCTCTTTTTAATTCAAATAATATTTGAATATTATAAGAATTTTGTTAACCATAATTACATTATTGTTATTTTTAACAAAATTAACGTTACAAACCTAATAGCTGAGTATTAGTGATGCATCTTCTTTCAGAAATTTTGCTTTTGAGGGAGTAAGTCAATCAATGAATTCTATGTTAAAGATAATACAAGGGAGAGGGAATATTTGAAAGAAGGACTAGTTAGTTGATAGCATTTCAGTGATTCTTCTTGGGATTTTTTTAGTGAATGTTCTATCTTTTGTGTAAGAATTTGGCTGGCACGTATTCTTGAACAAAGTAAATATAAATATGAAAGCACAGATGGGAAAAAACATGTCTCAAAATATGCTTAAATTGCAAAAACAGCTGGGAAAATTGAAATATTTTCACAGTTTAAGATTTGTTACAGAGTTACAGTGATGCATTTTTAGAGAGAAAAAATTCTCTAAGGTCATCACTTTGGGGCTGCATCATGCTTTATTACTTCAAATAATATAAAATCATAAAATTTGGCGAAAATACTTCAGCTAAGTTGCCAAAAAAACAAGGACAGGTCAGTAATATTGGAGCACATTCCAAGACATTGCTTTTATAGCCAAGGCTTTTATTTTTTTAAAAAAAAGCTTTAAACTGGCAAAAAAGGAAAGACAGCATGTAGAGTATGCACTCAAAGAAGTATGTTTTCTAACCATTGGCAGAGATACTATTAATCCTTATGAAGGGTTATCAATACTCAAATGAAAAGCTTTCCTGATTATATAGTTTGTGTCCATATCACAATAGCAACTTAGTTGTGCATTTTATAGACATTTGACTTACCATTTTTTCCATTTTAAGTTATGATGTCTTGCACTTGTTCTTTGCTGCCAAGTGTTTCATCTATACCAATTAAACAGTCATGTTCCTGGCAGCATTTATGCTCCATGAATACATACATCCCTCCTTTGCCAAATGCTACCCCATATAAATAGTACAAATAGTACTGGATGCTTGTTCT